TACATCAGTGACGCCCTTCCACTTTTTTTACACGAGCGCGCGCGATGCTAAGGCGAAAGCCACATTTTGACAACGACCTGGCCTCCATCCGTGAAGTTCCTGTAATTTTGTATACGAATGTGCGCGGCGCTAACGCGAAAACCACATATGAAAAACGACCTGCCTGCAACCAATGAAACTCTTGCACTGTTTTAACGAGTATGCGCGGCGCCAAGGCTACATGAACGGTATTTTGAAAACGACCCGCCCTCAATCCGTGAAGCTCTTATAATTTCTGGACGCTTCTCGTATCCCCACCAGCCCATCCAGAAACGACGCCCATGAGAGCTGAGAGGGGGGAGAGGGGAAGAGACACGCATAGTCAAACAACGCTTCTTGGCGGCCTCCTGGGGAGGCTCCGTGGCCATCTTGAGCCGTATTGGAGCGGTCTTGGGGCGTCTTGGGGCATCTGGGAGCCATCCTGAGCCAGCTTGGATTATCTTGAGCCATCTTGGAGGTCATCTTGGGCTCTCTGAGGCCGCTTGGGGGCCACTCGGGGGCCTCTTGGGGGCCTCTCGGGGGCCTCTTGGAGTCCTCTTGGGGCCTCTTAGGGCGCTCGTGGGATCCTCTTGGGGGCCTCTTGGGAACCCTGGAGGGCCTCTTGGGGCCATTTTGGAGGCGGTCGGTCAAAAGAGGGGGGGTACTCGATGTGCGTCCCCCCCTCGGGGGCTGCGATCCTCGTGAGGGGTATCAGAAATTTGCCCTCCCACTGGCCGAAAAAGGAGCCTCCGACACCTCGCGAAACCTCCCCAAGAACCTCAGGGAGGGGAGGGGGAGGGTTCCCCTCCCCGAAGGGAAGAGGGGTTGTGGAAGAGGGAAGAGACCCTCCTTAGACCACCTGTCGCCCAGAGGGCTGGTGGGATTCTTAAAAACAAGTGTGCGCGGCGCTAAGGCGAGAGCCAAATTTTTGAACACCACCCGCCCTCAATCCGTTAAGCTGTTGCCGAGATCTCAGCATCAGGGTCATACGTTCAGGCGAAACGCCCTGCCCGCCCTTTCGACCGGCCTCGGGGTGCGACAGGGATGAATTGTTTACACGAACAAGAAATGGAGGAGGAGGGGGAGGAGGAGGAGGAGGAGGAGGAGGAGGAGGAGGAAAACGACGTTAACTGGGGGTTCGTCAGATGGAGGTAACCTGGCCTTCCTCGGTCCTGTCTCTACCCAGCCTCCCTAATCCCGCATCTTTCGTCTCCTCCCTTCCCTCTTCTCTCCTTCGTCGCCCCCTCGCTCCTCGGGGGGTGCGGCGAGGGAGCAAGGGAACGAATGCATGAACCAATAAAAGAGCGAGGGAGGGAGCGAGGGAGCGAGGGAGCGGGGGACGGCGTCAGGGAACGAAGACGCGAGCGAGGCATGAGGAAGCGCGTTCTTTTCCTATCTACTATCGCCATCCTCTGCGGAAGCCGTAGCCTCGGCTGTTTGTTGTCATTTCGCGCGCGGCCGTTGCTTCTGTGACCCAGGCTCTGGGGAAGGGGAAAGCAAGAGACGGATGGGGGAAGAGGAACGCATGATGGCGACGGAGGTACCGACGGCGACGCTGGGGACGCGCTGGATCGGAGAACGGGTTTTGAGCTGGATTGGGCTCAGAAGAGCCCCCCTGCTGTGGCCACGTCTGGCGCTGCGCTGGAGCTGGCCGTGCCCAT